TTTTTTTTTTTTTTTTTTTTCTTCGCTAGGGAGTTTCTTACACCTATATCATGACACGCAAACATAGTTTTCCTTTACATTTATGATAATCCCTATTTACGATAAAAACACTTGACACAGCGTTTTTATCCTGTACAACTTAGAGCTGTACGAGATACGAAAATATGTTAATGAAACGTCATTTATTCATAACTCGGCCCCATAAAAGTCCGCGCACATACTCGAGTACGAGAAAACTTGGATGCGGCTGATCCACAGTAAACGGCGCCCTAACAACTCTTCGTTAGGAACATACTTCACATTCTGCACTATTATTACACTTGTCGTAGTATACATGTGAAAAGTCCTATTTTAATATGTATATTCTTTAAACAAGTGGAATGAGTTAGGCAGTTTCAACGATGATTAGGACACGACTCGAGCGATCAATCGAGAAAGCATCTTTATTTATTTATTTATTTATTTATTTGTTTATTTTTTCATTTAAAACTATTTCAAATGTAATTTGCTCCACAAATCAATTGGCTGCTCGAGGCTATCGACGAGAAACCATTTAATTGCTATTTTATACCTTTTTTTGTCGAGCATCAAACTCGCAAGCGTACATTCTTTGCCATATAAATATGCTTAGAAAATTCCAAAGGAAAAAAAAAAAAAAAATCGTCTCGACTAGCCAATCGATTTCGACAGACTCGTACCAGAGCATCGTTCGTGAAAATGAGAAAAGCTTCCTATACAATCTTTGTCTCCTTTTTTTTTAAGCTCCTTCGTATCTTCACAAGAAACAGAGTGCTCGACATGTATTTTTCGAAATACATAATGTCACGCGAGCTAATGTTCCCAAACAATTTGACAAAGGAGACAACAACTTAAGGAGAACTTTCTAAATTTTGTAGTTTTTTAGCCTAAGTGACGCCGGTTGTACATTAAAATCTGATGAAAAATCCTTCCCATCGAAGCGTGTATTTACACGTTTGCATCCGACCAGAATTTCCCTTCAAAGTGTGATCGTTTCAACGATCGATCAGTTCAAGCGAACATTACATCGCGGGGATTATTATTATTCGTAACAACGAATTTGTGTGCTTGTCGCGAAACGCAATTCCTTCGGGTCGAGTAACAGTTACTTAAGAAGAGAAATGAAATTACGTGGTTGCTCAATTTGACAGAAGTGGTCAGTCTTCGGAGAATGGTTGAAACAATTCGATGAACGAAGTAAACGCTTCGACGACGTTCAAACAGACATTATACGCACGCGACACGCTTAAATCTACAACGATACAAATTCTCGAACGGTGACGTTACTAACAATACAGAGTCGGAAATTAAGTTTCAAAGGTTTTCGCGTCTTGACAGTTTTCAGTGCGAATGGAAATTTCGCGACTTCGGATCGAACCACGCGGCGCAGCGTTTTACCTTTCATTTCCCGAGAATTAATGAACTATTATGAACTCTCTTGTACTATGATGCTACACGTGAAAGAACCAGCGAGAACGCGCTTGAGAAATGCGTTTAAAAACGGAAATAGGGTAATTAGGAAGATTATATTCCTTTTGGAATGTATTCAACGCTACTCGCTTCTCTCGCGGATGCTTTTCAAATGAATACGCCATTATGAAGTAAACACAGCGAGATACTCAACGCCCATTTTGAAAAGTTGTCTAAACGTATTCGTACGGCTATACTTTTCACCATTTAAACGGCTATAATTGAATGAAAATAATTTATGAACCACCCGCTTACTCCTATGGCTCGATTCATGGAAACTGAACATTATCGTTCGAAAATTGTTTTCGTCGATTGTGGCAGACGAATTTATAAATGCTTCCCAATGGAAATAATATTTGACACGTCCGGCTTGTTCTGCGCCTCGAAGCATCCGCTACTATGGAAATTAAATTCGTCAATCAGTTGTATATTGGACGGTACTTTCGATCTCGAACAGATCAAGAACTTCGCGCCAATTCACCTCGATGATGAAACTAACAAGAATATCATATGTACAATCCTCGGTACGTCCAAACTACATTGCAGCTACGTTGCAGCGTTTATCGTGGCGCTTTGAAAATCAGATGGACAAAAAAACCACGCGATTTTTAAGTACGTATCTCTGGCAGCGTGAGACGTGCGAATGCAACTGGTCGAGTTTTCTTGCAAAATGTATCTTTCGAAGAGAAAAAAAAAAAAAAAAAAAAATTGCAATGTCGATACTGACCCTAAGTAAGAGGCGAAATTCTTTCACACAGAGAAACGTTTTTTCCCCATCGGCGTTAAGTTTGTAAAATACGTCTACGAATCGTAACAAATCACGGAATCATCCCGAAGTATATCTATCGAAAAAACGACGCTACCCATTGTGCCCATGGAGTATTCGCTTGCAAACTGCGTAAAAAATCCGTCCATTCCGAATGGCAATTCGGCTAAATCGTCGAGCTAAACCGATGCCGCGACCAAAACGACGATGGTTCCTAATATTTCCACAAATCGGGCAGATTTTCTCTGGCAATTGAA